CAAATAGTAAGTTAAAGTGTTTTCTTTGCTTGTTTCTTTATTTTATAAAAAAATATTGGCTTTTCAACTGAAAATCTGCCAAAGAATACTAGATTAAGGATCATTCTTATAGCAACTTTTAACACAACACTTTTTTCCGAAATATTTACTTTTTATCTCTAAAACTTCAGAAATTAGAAAATGGACGGTTTTTAAATAAAGCGGCCAGACTTATATTACCGTTGTATTGTCGTTGCGTTCCATCACGGACATGCGCCTAAAGAAGAGAAACTAACACAAATGGAAAATAAATTTGTTCAAAACCTTTCGAAAGATTTTAGAGCTTTACTTAAGAAACTCATCACTTATGGGATCCGATTATTTAGTAAAAACTGATTAATATCTGTGAGAGTTATAGCATAAGCAAGAGTATGGTGCCAAATGTGCGTCGGGGGTGGGTGGGGGAGGAATTATGAAAAAGTAAAAAAGTAAATGGCAAAGCGCTGATGATGAAATTCTTTCGTCACAAAGTCTGACGCAGTTAAATAAGGTGGGGGCTGTAATAGAGAGAGCCTTGTTTTGAATGCGTTCCATTTAATTAGCACAAAAATACCTAAATGCCATAGCCTCTTAGAGATTCAAGTTTTTCGATACAAAGTAGTACATGAGTTCCTACACTTTGCTTTTGACAGCTCATCTTGCCAAAGATGAGGATGATGGAAGCGAATCTTTTATAAGAGTTGTTTCTGCAACGGGAGAGCCAGCCAATGTTCTGGTAAGGACTGGAAACTTATTTGAAAACACATTTGGCTCGATAAATGATAATCATGATATGATCAAGTAAAAACAGCAACGTAATGCAGTGGTCAAGGCAAGGAACCTTCTGTAATAAAACTGCGATTTGCCATATTTTTGTCTCCCCGCAAAATGGAAAAAGTACATTTTTACATGCTGATTCTAAGTGTGTTGTTATTACTATTTCTTAAATTTAAGTAATGTTTCTCATCTGATTTTAGGCTGGAACAGAGCCCTCTAAGATTAATAAAGAACCCGCAAATGACTCCCCGTCGCTTGGTTCAAGCAAGATACAAATCACCGCTGACAAAGTCAGCTTGAATGGCAAGTTAATCAGTTTTCTTTGTTGCCTTGGTAATTTCTCTTTCAAAAGATTAACCCTTCCAGTAAAGTAGTGCTGGAGAATACTAGCGAAGGGAAATTCTGGTTGCAACGTTGCACAGATACATTTTGTTGCTCCAAATAGTTACTTTCATCTTAAATCCCCTCCTCCTCCACCAAAACGTCGAGGGGGGGGGGGGGGGGAGAGGAAGAAAGGAAGGACAGTAAATGATGAAGACCGGGATTCTTGTCCTATAAAATATTATGAAAAAGTAAGTGGGACAGGTATTTTAATGATAACATTACAGCGTCCCTGGGAGTTACGCCGCTAGATAGAGTCTATGATAGAAAGAGCTCTGTTTTGTAAGCGTTCCAAATCATGGACACATTGAAACATAAATGCCATTACCTGTTGGAGATTCAAATTTTTTGGATAGAAAGCAATACATGAGTTCCCACTCGTTACTTTTGACAGCTCATCGTCACAAGGATGTAGATGTAGGAGGAGACTCTTTTGGAAGAGTTGTTTCTGCAATACGACAACGAGAGACCACCCTGGTAAGGAACATAAACTAGTTTATAACATTTGGCTCGTTAAATAATAATCGTGGCAAAATCAAGTCAAAATAAGGGCAAAGTGTGTTCGTCATGGTGACAAACGTTTTGGCATTAAAACAGGGATTTGCTACCCTTTTCTCCTCCCGCAATATAGAAGTAGAATGTTACGTGCCCAAAACAGATAATAAAATCAATCTAAACCACGGAAACCCTACTACTACCATGAGAACGCGTTTTGAATAATTATCATAGAACCAAAGCCAAAGTGATAATTTGGATATATCAACAAAGTTGAAATGGTAAATTGGCCACCGTAACGATTACAAAAGCTGACGATTCGAGCGTTAGCCCTTCGTCGGAGCGAATAGAGGAATTGTGGGTTGTGTGTGCTTTTAAAGGCAGAGAATGGAGGTACGTTATAACCAAAACCAAAGTGGTCACGACGGCCAATCAGAACTAAGCAAAAGATCACAAGAGCCAATGAGAGGTCAAAATAAAGCAAGCCAATCAAAACTAAACGAAAAAGCTTGTTGTCCTTTGAGCCAATGAGAGCTCAAAGGACAACAAGCCATGTTACTTAAGCCCGGGAGAATGAGAGTGATTAAATCGCGGTTGGCTTTAGTTTTGAATCTGATTGGTTGGGACAGTAGAACAAGTTTTCTGAACCAATGACAGAGCGAAGAAAAGAAAAAAACCAAAGCAAGATCGGATCACTTTCGTCTCTAAAAAAATAAAAACTCGAAGTTTAAGATTATTCATGAATTTTTTCACTGAGTGTAAGAGTTAAAAGTCTGGAACTGGGTAAAAACAAGTGAAGTACACAAAGTCAGCTTTGTAGTTATATTAGTTATCATTTTCAGTGAGATAGACAAGAAAAATACAGGTACTTTTTTATTTGCTACATGTGTGTCATTGCTATTTTATTATTTTTTTTTTTGGTCTAATAGCGTTGCCACAGCGAGTACCTTCCGAAAGCCGGTGTCAATAAGAGGTTTGCATACCAGTTTTAACAACCTAGCCTTTACCTGAAATTTTTACCATGACCAGAATTGGGAGTTCCTTCTCTCAAAAGACTAAAATTAACTTTCTTTACAAACTGTTTCTATATTTTACAAACTGCAGGTTAAGACGTAGTAGGAGTGAGGAAACTATTTCTAAACGTTTCAAGAAGGACTGTGGGCATTCAGAATCTCAAGTAAATAAAATGACCATTTTTTATTTGTCAACTAGTCAGCAAGTGTATTTGGTTGCTTCACTTAACATTATGCCAAAGAGAAATCTTTGTGTTCGTTTGAAACAGCGCATTGTGCATATCACATTCTTAGTCTTGCTATCCTAAAAGCAGAGAAAAACTATTGGGAACCAAGATAAAACAAACTGGCAGTAAAACCACTATCAATTTTAAGCTTGTTCAATGTTTAGCTTGTCGTAAGGTGATTATAAATTTCCTGGGAAGGACTGCCTGTTCCCATGATAAAGCTACGTTAAAAAAATATCTCCCTAATAAGTCTAAGGCCTATGCTAAAACACTTTTTAAAGTTATTATCATTACTCCTTGATATCAATTAATTTCTCTCATCTTATTTGAGATTGATGCAGGGCTCTCTAAGACCAAGAAAGAACAAGTGACTGAGTCCCCGTTACCAGATTCAAGCGAGGTATGAATTTGCTTTTAAATGATAATCATAGCATAATCAAGTAAACATAACAGCATTGTACAATCGTCATGGTAAGGAATGTCTTGGCATGAAACTGCAATTTGCCGCTGTTTTTTGCTACCCGCTTCTGTAACAGTAAATTCTCACACGCCTAAAACAGAAAAAAAACGCATTCTGAGCCACAGCAAAGCCTATTAGTAGTTTAAAATACTACCATTAGAGCGCTTTTCGCGTCATAGAAACAGATCTAGAATCAAAGTAATCGCATAGGCCAATAAGAACTAAGCAAAATATCACAAGAGCCAATGAGAGCTCAAAGTAAAACAAGCCAATCAGAACTAACCAAAATATCACAAGAACCAATGAGAGCTCAAAGTAAAACAAGCCATTCAGAACTAACCAAAATATCACAATAGCTAATGAGAAGTCAAAGTAAAACAAACCAATCAGAACTAACCAAAATATCACAAGGGCCAATGAGAGCTCAAAGTAAAACATGCCAATCAGAACTAAGAAAATATCACAAGAGCCAATGAGAGTTCCTTAAGGGCAGGATTAGGAGAATGATCAAGTCGTGATTGATTTTAGTTTTGAATCTGATTGGTTGAGAAAGTACAGCGTGTTTTCTGAACAATGACAGGTCACTTTTGCCTCTAAATACAGAGAAAAATACAAAGCATATAATAAAATGATGTAAAGCATGCTGGCAGTAAAATTTTCTTTAATTCTAAGCGTGTTCAGTGTTTAGCTTGTCGGAGGGTGGTAGCAATTTGTTTGGAAAAGATTACCTGTTCCCATTGTATGGTTACGTTAAATAAAGATCTCTCTTATTTACGTTAGTTGGTCATACTGCATTGCTATAATTATTATTTGTCTCTGTCTTATTTTAGGTTGAAGCGGGGCCCTGTAAGACCAAAAAAGAAACCGTAATTACGTCCTTGTCGTACAATTCAAACAGGGTGCAAGTCACAGCGGACAAAGCAGAATCCATTCGACCGGGATTTTTACAAAAACTCAGTTCGAAAGGTAAGTTAATGTGTTTTCATAATTGCCCGGGTGGTTAACTGTTTGGTTGTTCTTGTTCAAACGATTGGCTTTTCTACGGAAAATATGTTGAAGAATACTGGGTAATGGAACATTCCGACAGATACACTTAATTTGTGGCAGAAATATTTATATTTTATCTTGAAGACTTCACAAATAGAAAAATGAACCGTTTGCAAAGGGGCACCTAATTTACCTAATTTAGAGGCTAGTAGTGTCTTTGCGTTACGTGATGGACATGTGCAGAAGAGGAAAAACGAATTCTCATGCCAAAAAGAAACTATCTGTGAGAGTTTACCGGGATAAAACTATTTTTAGCCTCAAGAATTTTTAAATTAGATATCAAGTTATAACAGCGTATGGGAGGGGGAGAGGGAGGATGAATGATAGAGACTGATTCCTGTCCTCTAAAATATCATGAAAAAGTAACTAGCATAGTGAAATTGAAGCGTCCTCAGGTCTAATGCAATTAGATAAGATGGGGCCTATTATCGAAAGAGCCGTGTTTTGTATGAGCTCCAAATAATGGACACATTCAAACATAGACACCATAGTCTCTTGGAGATTTAGATAGAAAGCGATACATGAGCCACTTTTCTTTTGACAACTCATTTTGACAAGTGCGTTTTGGGTAACATGATAGGAAGTGGATCATCTGGGGCACGTGAACACGATTTATCACGAGGGAAAAAGCGGAAGCTTAAACAGAAGAAGCTAAGCGGGTTAAAAAAAGTGAGTTTTGACACACACCACATATCAAGTATACTTGATAAAGACTCTTTTACATTACTTGGGGAAATTGCAACAACTAATTAAACGTCAATCTGTCTTTTGGAAAAAGGTGGGTAGTTTTTGCTTTGTCATCGACTGATGAATCAGAGACTTAAGATTCGGTTGAAGCCTGGCACTGAACCTCGAGGGTCTGAAAGACTGCTAAAAAATAGAGTGAAGTACCCAAAGCAAGCTTTGTAGTTCTATTGGTTGTCATTTTCACCGCAATAGAAATAAGAAGGATACAGGTATTGTTTTAGATACTTCATGTGTGCTAATGGTATGTTACGTTTTCACCTGATAGCATTGCCGCAGCGAGGACCTCCCGAAAGCAGCTGTCATTAAGAGGTTTGTATTGCCGGTTTTCACTGTGACACCATCATCAAAACCAGTTGACAAATAAAGTCAAGAATTTAAGAGATAAAAATAAGATGAATATTCAAATAGTCTTGCAAAGATTCAGGACCTTGCACTATTCCGTGTCAGAGATATTCGAAGAAATGTGTTGTTCAAATTTACAAAGCTTTGTATGCAGACGCCATGTTGGTGTCCCTCAAAGGTGTCCCACCAACATGGCGGCCGGAAGCTAACAAAAACATATGTCATCGAGTTTTGCTTTAGAAAACCTGTAGTCGTATTCTGAGGGCTCGCAAAAATCTACATGATTACTCGTTCTCATACAAGGACTGTTAAAATTGCGAAATCTCAGCAGATAAGTCACTTTTTTTTAACTTACGTGACAGCATTTTGATATCGTGTCACGCAAGAGCTTAGAAATTCAACCTTGCTTTATCACAAGACGAAAATCCCGATCAAACTGAAAATTTGTACAAAGATAGGTATTCAACTGCTCTATTAGCTAACTAACTGAAATCTCATGAGGATTGATAATCCCCTATTTTTTAATTTTGATGACGTCACGTGAAAATCAAGAATACCAGTTTCATCAACTTTAACCTGAATATTTCCGCCAGAATTGGGGGTTTTGTCTCTCAAAAGGCTGAAATTAACATGCATTGTAAACTGATTTTATATTCTCTTGAACTACAGACTAAGACGTGTTTGGAGTGAGTCAGCGATATGCTCTAAACGTTTGACAAAAGACCGTGTGCCTTTACACTCTCAAGTAATTATGATTTAAGTTACCAGTTTTATTTACCAACGTTCCCGCACTTTTTGTTGACGTTTCACGGAACATTCTGCCATTTGTAGGGTTTAATTTATCCTCAGCCTTTTTTTTTTATATTTCAAAGCTATAAGTACATACTGTCCTCCTAAAAACAGAGAAATATACAATCATGAAACATGACAAAGTATACTGACTAGCAGTAAAATCACCATCAGACCAGGATCATATTTCTATCTTGCTACGAGACTCGTCCTTCGAAACGAAATTTCTATCGCATGTAATTCGAAAGAGCCACGTTTTTCAATCGTCAAATTTTGCAAATAGGCAACTTAAACAATTATCTCTAAGATGTGAGAAAATAAAAGCATTCCAAAAGGTCGAGTTAGTCCCCGATAACGCTTTATTATTGAACTTGTCGGAGGATCGTTAGCACTTTGCTTAGGAAAGACTACCTGCTCCTATCGTAGAGCTACGACAAATAAAGACTTTTCAAATCTGAGTCCCTCGTAAATACTAAATGAGTTATTTTTATTGTTATTTCTTAATTTTGATTAATTTCTCCTATTGTCCTTTAGGTAGAAACACGGCCTTCGAAGACCAAAAAAGAACCAGTGAATAAGTCCTCGTCCTTCGGTTCAAGCGAAGAACGAGTCACACTGAACAAAGCCGAAACCAGTCAACCTGTTTTTTTACAAAAACTCGGCCCTAGTGGTAAATTCATGTGTTTTCTTTATTTTTTCTTTATTTTCTATGGAAAATCTGCTGAAGAATAGTAGATTAAGGATCTTTCTCGTAGCAACTTTAACCATATACAACTTTTTTGCGAAAAGATCACTTTTTATCTCTAGAAAATTTGCAAATTAGAAAATGGATGGTTTCTAAATATACAATCAGCATTAACACAAATAATTCGTGTATGCAGACATAAATACCATAGCCTCTTGGAGATTTAAGCTTTTCATAGAAAGCAATACACGAGTTCCCACACTTTTCTTTGACAGTACATCTTGCCAAGCATGTGGATGATGGAAGTGAATATTTTGGAAGAATTGCAACAGCTGCATCAGGAGAGTCTGCTAATGTTCTGGTAAGGACTGGAAACTTATTTGAAAAACACATTTGGCTTAGTAAATGATAATCATGGCATTATGAAGTAATAGCAGCAACGTAGGGAAGTTGTCAAATTTAGGAGCCTTTTGCAATAAAACATCGATTTTCCACCCTTTTGTCTCCCCCGCAGATGTATAAGAGTACATTTTTACATGTTACTACTTACTGGGTTCTTCTTATTATTTCTTTGTTTTAAGTAATTTTTCTGATATTATTTCAGATTGGAGCAGGGCCCTCTAAGAGCAATAAAGAACCCGTGAATGACTTCCTGTCGCTGTCGCTTGGTTTAAGCGAGATACAAATCCCCGCTGCCAAAGTCAGCTCGAATGGTAAGTTACTGTTATTTCTTTACTGCCTTCGTAATTTCTCTTTCAAAAGATTAACTCTTCCATTAAAGTGATTGCTGGAGAATGCTAGCGAATGAAAATTCTAATAGCATCGTTGCACAGATACACTTTATTGCAGAAATAGTAACTTTCATCTGAAATCCCCTCCCTCCCCCCCAACTGTCGAGGAAGGGGGAGGAGATAGAGGGGTAGTAAATGATGGAGACTATAATTCTTATCCTCTAAAATATTATGAAAAAGTTAAAGGAATTCTAGCGTCCCTAAGTATAACGCAGTCTGATAAGGTGGAATCTAAAGTAGAAAGAGCCCTGTTTTATATCCGTTCCAAAGCATGGACACACTGAAACACAAATACCCTAGCCTCTTAGAGATTCAAGTTTTTACATAGAAAACAATACATGAGTTCCCACACTTTGCTTTTGACAGCTCATCTTGTCAAGAATGTGGATGTAGGAGGTGATACTTTTGGGAGAGTTGTTTCTGCAACACAACAGCCAGATACTGCCCCGGTAAGGGTTATAAACTAATGTGAACACACATTTGGATTGTTAAATGATAATTGTGGCAAAATCAAGTAAAAATAGTGGCAAAGTGCACTTGTCATGGTGACGAGCGTTGTGGCATTAAAACAGCGATTTGCTACCCTATCGCCTCCCCGTGATATAATACATATAGTAGAATAATACATGCCCAAAATATAGATTAAAATGATTCTAAACCACATCGAAGGCTAATAGTAATTAAACTACCATGAGAATGCTTTTTGAAAAGTTTTCATAGAATCAAAACCAAAGTAATTACGACGGCAATTCGGGGCTGAGCAAAATATCACAAGAGCCAATGAGAGGTCAAAATAGAACAAGCCAATCAGAACAAAGCCAAATATTACAAAAGCCAATGAAAGCTCAAAATAAAACCAGTCAATCAAAACTAAGCAAAATATCACAAAAGTTAGTGAGAGCTCAGAATGAACAAGCCATTTAAAACTAAGCAAATTATCACAAAAGTCAGTGAGAACTCAAATAAAACAAGATAATCAGAACTAAGCAAAATATTACAAGAGCCAAAGACAGCTTAGAATAAAACAAGCTAATTAGAACTAAGCAAAATATTAAAAGAGCCAATGAGAGGTCAAAGTATACTAAGCCAAGTTTCTTAGGCGCGGGAAAACGAGAGCGATCAAGTCGTGTTTGGTTTTAGTTTTGAAGCTGATTGATTGGGAAAGTGAATGGAGCTCTAGATCTCTGAATCAATCGCAGGTCACTTTTGCCTCTCAAAACACCTTTAATTCTGAGCGTGTTCACTGTTTAGCTTGTCGGAGGGTGGGTTAGGAATTTGTTTGAGAAGGACCACCTGTTCCTTTTGTATAGTTACGTCAAATAAAGATTCTCTTGAAAAAGTCTCTTAGGTAATACCAATTAAAAATTATTAATTATTGATATTAGGTAATTTCTCTCATCTTGTTTTAGGTAGAGGCAGGGCCTTCTGAGACCAAGAAGGAATCCATAAATACGTCCTTGTTGTACAGCTCAAGCGAGGTGCAAGTCACAGCGGACAAAGTCGAATCCTTTCGACCGAACTTTTTGAAAAAACTCAGTTTGAATGGTAAGTTTACGTGTTTTTTAAACAATTTTTTTGGTTTTTTTCTTTCATGAGATTGGCTTTTCTACAGAAAATCTGCTGAATATTACTGGGTGATGGAAAATTCTGCGAGTAACTTTGCACAGATACATTTTATTGTAGAAAGAAGGGGAGTAAATGATGGAGTTTGTGATTTATGTCCTTTAAAAAAATGTAAATAACATGATGAAATTCCAGCGTTCCAAGGTCTAACACAGTCAGATAAGATGGGGCCTACTACAGAAAGAGCCTGTTTTGTGTGTGCTCCAAATTATGGGCATATTCAAACATATACCATAGCCTCTTGGAGATATGAGTTTTTAGACAGAAAGCAATACATGAGTCACTTTGCTTATGACAGCTCATTTTGACAAGTACGTTCTGGGCGACATGATAGGGAGTGGCTCGTTTGGAAGAGTTTTTTCTGGGATACGCAAATCAGATAACGCTCCGGTAAGGACTGAAAACTAATTTGAAAACACATACGACTTGCATAATGAATACCATTGTAAACAGTAAACATAGCAGAATAGTGCAGTCGTCATGGTGAAGAACGTTTTGGCATGATGCTCCGATTTGCCACCTCTCGTCTCCCCACAAATATAAGAATAGTTTCCCTCTCATCCGCGGGTAATCTCTGTTATACAAGTTACTTACAGCACAGGCAGCCCAAGCTCACTACTAGAAAAGCTCACTACTAGAAAAGCGGTTTGTATGGGATGTTATCGGTTTGCCTTAAAAGAGAGAAAAAAAATGTCTTGTTTTGAAATAAAATGGGCTTACCTTATTGACTTGTTGTTTTCTTTGTTGATTGTCTCTCAAAAGGCTGAAGTTAACATGTATTGTAAAATGCTTTTAATATTCTCTTGAACTGCAGACTAAGATGTGTTTGGAGTGGGTCAGGGATATGCTCCGAACGTTTGATAAAAGACAATGGACCTTCACACTCTCAAGTAAATATGAATTGAGTTACCAGTTTTATTTACCAGCTATTCCACGCTTTTTTTCTTTTTTTTTTTTTGGACGTTTCACTGAACATTCTGCCATTTGTAGGGTTCAATTCTATCCCTGGTCAACTTTTTTAATTTCAAAGTTATAAACACATACTGCCATCCTCAAAACCGAGAAATATTGAATCATGAACTAAGATAATACATACTGGCCGTAAAATCACCATTACACCAGGGATCGTATCTCTATTTTGCCGCGAGACTCGTCCTTCGAAACCAAACTTCTAACGCATGTATTTCGAAAACGGCGCGTTTTTCAATCGTCAATTTTTGCATATACGCTACTTAAAAAAATAATCTTTAAGATATGAGAAAATAAAAGCATTCAGGAAAGGTCGAGTTAGCCGCCGGTAACGTCTTAAAATTGAACTTCGGTCGTTAGCTGTTACTTGGGAAGGACCACCTGTTCTCGATGTAGAGTTACACGACAAATAAAGGCTTTTCAAATCTAAGTCCTTTGGGAATGCTAAATGAGTTATTTTTATCATTACATCTTAATTTTTATAAATTTCTCTCATCCTACTCGAGGTTGAAGCAGGGCCTTCCGAGACCAAGAAAGAACCAGCGAATGAGTGCTCGTCCTCCAGTTCAAGCGAGGAACGAGTCACAGCGGACAAAGC